CGTTTCGCGCAAGCACAACTGCAACGGTCACCGATCGAACTAGGAGCTCTTGTAAAGCAAAGAATGAAGATTTCACCTCCGAAGCGGCACCTATAGGTACACGAGGCGGCATCTGGGTACACATATCGGCGGATTCACTGGATCGGTGATGAGGCTGCGGGTCGTTCCCTCAGAAGCGATGTCCGCGGGTCGAAGGCAGACGGCGAATCGTTCAAATGGATATCATCACTTGATTCGGACGAGCTTGGTGAGCCGTACAGCTACACTCCATTTTCACATGCGGGTCAAACAGAATTTGGTTGATTGCTTGTTACATACGGCTTCTGGTAGATAGCCTAGCTGTAGGTTTCGGTTTTGCTGCATAATCAAATTAATTGATCTGATTTGGGCCAGGACTGGATGGACGTAATTGAATATCGTTGGCACAGCATCACACCTCAGCTTACGAGCCTTCTGTCCGATTCGAGCTCAGCTCGTAGCTCTCTTCTGTGAGATGACTGCTGCATAAGCGGGATCTTGATCTTGACGGGAACCCAGCCCCTAGGCACGGCGACGATCCATTTTGCTCGCCACTGCACACCTCGCGGAAAATTGTGGAACGTCCCGTCTTGGATAGCAGGTGCTGCCCGGTGATTGTGGCACCCAACCGCTCAACAAAAATCTCACCCATCCACGAAACAAGTCGAGCGCAACAACAAAAACGATATACGCTGCGGCGTTCGCTCGCAGGCAAACGACGAGACAAAAATGCTCGCTTTGTATTGCGTGACGTCAGAGATTCAGTGTTGCCAACGAAAGCAGCGTTTACGTTAGAAAGCGATTGGAGCAGTATAAATTCAATTACTCATGCAGAGGGGCATATAAAATTCAGATATTGCACCTACGATGCGTTTCGAGACAATATCAATGATATTAATATGTTTTCTCGAATACAAAATTTGACCAGACAATCCCTTTAAGTGGTACTCGCGTTTCACGAACGGCAGAACATTGCTGGAAGACGAAGAGTGGTAGGGCGACTTTATCCGACCTCTCCTTGGCAGAATGTCACATTCTGCCATTCTTGAGGCGTGAGTGCCAGTGATAACACCTCGCACACTTCACTGTTTTTTTGACATAAGCTTTCTAAATCATTTCAGAGGTCTCTGTTCCAGATTTGTTGAGTTTGACGCAAAATTGATGTTCGCTCTCGCTTTGGTTTGCAGTCTACGGAGAGGTCGCCAATATGCTCGTGCAGGTGGTCAAACAAACTCGTGCAGCGCAGTCCCTAAAGTTCACGGACGACGCACTTTGGAAGAATGTCGCAGGAAGGTCCCTGCCTTCAATTGCTCCGCGCGCATCACTGTGCTGCCCTTTCTTTTTATGCTACAAAATCAGTCCCGGAACGTTTTGATTTCACCTTGTATATATATTCTAAAATGCATCTATATATGCAGGGTGTCTCTATTTAGGCTTAACAAACCTAAAAAAAAAAGGTGTCAGTGGTAGACTAATGCGGCTTTTGCAGGCGATATATACGGCCAAAGTGGCATAGCATAAGAGATAAAAACGATCAGTCGGCTAAATAACTCAGCTATGTTAATTAACGTTATAGTTACTGAAACCCAACATATTGTTCTAATTCGAAACTTGCTGAAGGTCATCGAATACAACTACTACCACTGTCAGACGGGCACCTAAAAGGACCTTTACGCTAAAGGACCTTTAGTGTAAATGTCATTTACCAGTGCCACACGGCAACTCAAATGGCATTGAGCGTAAAGGTCCTTTTCGTGAGCCTGAGTTCTCGCAACTCCTTAACGGCTGCTAAAGGCCTAATCTCGTCAACAGCGGTTTTCACTAGAGAAGCGAATGGAAATAAGGGATCGTACCAATATATAAAATCAATGCTTTTGCAATTTTATTGTTGACAAATAGCGTGTTTGAGGTATAATCTGTATAAACCTCGCTCTACAAATAGTTTTCTGTAGTCACTGCCCCAGCTATCTAGTAGGCCTTGTCGTTGCCTGCTCGCGTCGTCCGCTTCGGCACTTCGGTTTTCCTCCTCTCGATTTTTCTTACAACCATTGTTATCGAGCTTTTATTTCTCTGCTTCTTAGCTACGAGACTTCAATCGCAGTAAACATCGTCGAAATGGCATTTACTTGCGCTGTCGGGCACGGCAGAACGTAAAAGTCATTTGAAAATCCTAAAGGTCTTTGGCATGAAGGCCTCGCTTACCGCACATTCACACTGGAAGCGGATCCGCGTTCACAAAGCGGTTGCGAACGCGGTTGTAAAAAGATTCAGTACGATTTCACGCGCACTTGATGTCATCGAGTGCGCGTGATATTGTACTAACACGCCCGCGCGATTTTTCCGTCCATTGTCATAGCACCCAGCCTTGTGCCTGTTATACGAGTTGTAAATTTAACGTACTACTGTGCTTCCCACGCGCTGAAAGTCTTTCTAAGAATTACTGATACAGTCATTTTCGATAAAGCTCTTCAACATTCCAATTGAACCTCTGTGTCTATAACTAATAATTGCAAATTTATTAACATATTTAGTTAATTATTCAAGATATAGTGACGATTATCTCCCTATATTATGTCCTCCTGACCGTAGAACACACATGTACAAACCGCATTAGTGTGGATTTCCCGGCCTTTTTGTTTAAACAAATCTGAGCAGCTTTTAAAGAAAACACGGGGCGTAAATCTTAATTCTCTACGTAAAGGGCGAAATTAGTACTTCTGCTTGAGGGGAAGCATTTTTTAAAGCATGTTTCCTGCGGTGAAAAGAAGTATAGTGTCGAAATTTGCGGCAAAACAATTTTCTTAAGGAGATCGCCTTATACACGTTTGCAAGAAAGGCTCCTGTGCGCTGCCATTTTGAGCGATGCTGGCGCCCCGTACCGTTTCCGCCATGCTGGGGTGCGCTAGGGGCACGTCATTGGGGTGCGCGACGACAAGATGGTGCCGTTTGCTGCATGGCCGATGGCTTACGTTAGCGGCACACTAAAGGCCTGTTCACACAAGCAGCGGAGCGCTACAAGCATAGCGCTGACCTCGTGCTAAGCACGTGCCGACGGGAGCGTTCACCAGCTTTGTATCGTACCGTCAAAACCGTTGCTCATGGCATACGATAAGTACCTGACGGCACGTGAACAGCGTAACATCAGCGCTTCGCTGCATGTGAGAACCGGCCTTTAGTGTCGGAACGCAGGAGGAGGTATCCACACAGAATCGTAGCGTCACATATTGTACGACGGGGCATCTTTCAGGGTCGGAGCTGACTTTATAACGGTCGCAGACTCTGTTCCTGCATGTTGTGGAAGCCAGAGCTGCCGCGAGCGCAGCCATCGTTGATGCAAAGGCCATGCGACTTTTGGCGCATTCTGAAGAGAGCGCCTTGAGACTTTAGATCTTTTTGAAAATTTTCAATCTGTTAACGCTTTAGGCATTTTATTTAATTGTCCTTGCTATATCGCTGTCGAAGACGACACGTGTACGTTTTATAATTATTTTTTTTAATTTTTTTTTTGCGCTCAGTGGTGTACGCTTCGGCGAGAGACGCTTGGCAACATTGTACGACAACCAGCGAACGTCCTGGCTGGAGAGTAGGTCCGCCTCACCTTGGCGCGCGGTTCGAGGTTAAGCCGGGATCCCACTTGCAAACATGTATATGAGTCTTTTTTTTCTTCCTGCGGTGAGGAATTAAGAAAGGCATAATGTAACAATACCCAATCATTTTATTATAGCTACAGAGCCAATGAAGTCGTGGTATATTAGTTGATAAGGGTGCTAAGAACAAACAGCCAAGCAGGAACTGTGAACCTAAGGCAAAGCTCAAGTTCGTCTGCTTCTTGCCCAGGTGTTGCAGTGACGTCAAAACGGCGAGCTTTGACTGGCTCTGACTGAAAGGTTATTCGGAAGACTTCAATGCTAGCTGCCTTAAGCTTTACCCGCTATCTTTCCCATCGGAGCCAACCAGAGCACGGCGTTCTGAAGTCAGCGTAATCTCAAGCACAAGTACCAGACGAACTTCGGCTCCGCGTAGGCCCCGCTTTGCATTCCTAAAGGCCGGTTCAGACATTTGCGTTTGAGTGCGTTTGGCTGCGCTGCGTCGAGAACCTAAAGCGAGTCAGCGGAACATCTGTGTTTCGTATGAAGCGTGGAATCCAATTCAAGGAATCATCTTGGCACGCGATATAAGCAGCAGGGATGTCCTGGTTTCTCGCAGCCGCAACGCAGTCAAACGCAACTGTCTGAACTAGGTTTTACGCTGTCAGGAAGTACACGTGGCTTGCACATGACGTCATCCAAAGAGCGCTCCGATGGCCACCAGAGAAGAGGGGAAGAAGGAGCTCTCATCTTACCAGGAACCTCCTCTGTGTCTCCCAGACATCACTATCTCTTTTCATAAGTTTATAGAAGATTAACCCGTCGCTCGAAATTCCTACAAAAGTATCTTCCTCCTCTCTCCGTGGTGGTGGTCAAAAGTACGCGATGTGGCGTGAGAACAAGCCATGAATATAGCTCTCTGACGCCACACTAGTAAGGTGGCGCTGCTGTCGGCACCGCGCACTAGTGAGCCTAGATTGTAGATAGGATCCACTTCAAACTGTGGCACCGTGAACCTTGGGGAGCGTTCGAAATTTGGTGGGGTAAACCTTCTGCAGCGATCGGTCACAAGTGCGCATGTGCTTCGTTTTCGCGTGGTTAGGTGAAACGCAGGTGGAAAGGCGGAGGCGTTTGCAGACGATCAACGCTTTTGCCACTTCTTCGCGGCTCGTATCGCAAACGCCGACCGTGAACCACGTGGCCCCGATTGACCAGTTGGAAACTCTCTGTAGTACAAGCTCTTTACCGCAGCTTGCGCAGTCGCTTCACGCGGATGTGGTTTCTGCGCACGCGCAGTGCCCATGCCTCGTGTGGGCGAACGCGGGCTTGTTTATAAACAACATATTTTTGTATAGATGAATGTTGACATTCATTTTTTTTTCTCTCAATAGGCTCTCTCTCTCAATAGGCTCTCCTGATTGAAGCTAAGACGCCACGTAAACCTGCGCAGACATGACCAAACCCAGACGCGTCCCAGTGATTCAGGACATCGACAGTGAACCCTGCTGCATTTATTTTAACCCCACCCTTTACCGGCAAGTTCCGACCTTTGAACCGCAAGAAAGCGATATTATACAGGTACGTTTTTTTTTTGTTTTTTGTTTTTTTTTTTTATTTTGGGGGTTACATGTCTACACCTGGACAATTACCTGAACTATAGCGTATTGTGAGTTCGGTTATAAGTTAAATGGTTGTCGCGATTAGGAGGTTGGTTAAAACGAACGTGTTGTAATTATGAGTAAATAAACAAGAAAGAATAAAAGTATGGTTGCCCGTGAGCGTCCTCCGTTTTTTTTTTTTTTTTTTTTTATTCTTTCTTTTGATAAGTATTAGAATGTTCACTCAGAAATCTTGTTACGATACTGTAATCACACATATACGTAACTTTTTAATGCCCGAGATCAGAAAATTCTCTAGTTTATCGAACCTTTTCGCATATTCATTCACACGTTTTATGCACATGTATGTAGTCGTTGAATATTATTTCTCAATTTTCTTGTAGTTCTTTTTTCTAATGAAATATTGATCTTATATATTGAGGTAATTTTACAATGTGGGTATTTCTTCGATAATACTAAATTTATTGGAAGCCTTTTTTTTATTACAAGCGTGAATGACAATCTAGTATCAATTTATTCGTTGCATAATGTTCCTACATCAGAAATTCTTAAGTCCATAATAAGCGATCGGGACTATTCATTGTTCTAAAATGAAGTTAAAATTAATGACAGACGCAGTATCGTTTGTTTTTATGGACATTGTAAAAGCATTAAAAGTGAAGACAACTTTATTAAGCAGGCGAGCTGTTGGTCTAAGTTGATCAAGAGAGGCATAATTATGTCATTGTTGAACGCTGCCCTCAAGAAGTCTTGTTCTCACCAAGGGCATCTGTAAGTGGAGAATCAGTTGCTTCGCTTGAAGGATGTGGGATACAAGAACAACATACTGAAGCGGGTTGCGATGGCAAAAGTAATAAAGATCCGCAGAATACTACGAAAGTTGGCACGGTAATCCATAACACTTGAGGCTCGGTAATTTCTAGTTGTAATCCATTGCATTTTTCAAGTAACGAGCACAAGTCTGGTGTAGGGGGGTATTCGCTCAGCTGGAAGCGATGCTTCACGGGCAGAGAAATCCGTTTTTAATCAACTTGAGTGAGGTCAAAGCCGCGACTTGCGGCAGGTGTTAAGTGTACGGTGCAATGCTGGTGTGAGCTCGATAACTTCTAGTGCTTATCCCAGCGCGCCATATGGAGGGTTGTGTCTTCGGGAACCGTAGTATATTTAAACAACAAAATAAAGGATAGTTTTTTTGTCTGTTTTTTTTGTCGATTTTACCTACCATCCTCCCTTAATACTAAAATTCAAAATAGTACAGCTACGTATTTTCCGTCATATTTTCATACTGTTCAGTCCTTTCTCCAGAGCGCAATCGCACTCCTGGTGGAGACAACAGGATATCGCAAACGACAGTCACATTGGCAACAGTACGATAGAAGCTACGGTTCAAACCAGCGTTAAAACATGACTATCCGAAGGTCGATCGACTGCACCGCAGTCCCTCAAGCGGTTTTAAACTCTTTCATTTAAAGCCAAATGTCAACCTGCGAAACCCCGCCCACTCCGATTACGGCCCGACCAGCGGTATCTATGCCCGTCATTTACGTCATCTCATCTTGATGTTACACCACAGATACGCGAACACACGGTCACATCGGCGATAATTCCAGGCTTTGTTTGCAACACACAACTTTTCCATCGCAATGTTGCTGACACGCAGAAATACAGAACCACGTTGATTGCCGGTTGCCACTCGGCATCGCAAAACAGAACCGAAGTAAGCACAGAAGGCACACAGGCACCCACCCGGCAGCGAAACCTGCCTCTCTTGGACGCAGTTTACACGGTTTCCATAAAATCGTCAACATCGACACGTCGTTCCGCAATCCGGAGGCGACCATCTTAGCCCAGTGCTGGCACTGCTCCTGAACTTCAGTGTTTCTAACGCCTTCGTTTGCTTGTTTGGTAAAATTAATGGTAAAAATGTCGGTGCAACCCAAATGTTCTGCACGTCTGGACTGGGAAACGAAACTGAAAGAAGACTAGGCGGGAGGGCGGAACCTTTCTGCCGTCTGCCTAGAGAAGGAGAAAAGACGTCTTGTTCCTCCTTTGTTCTCGTGTCCGCTTGGGAGCGCGTCAGTCGAAGGGAGGAAAACGCGCCGTTGCTAGCTTTTTCCTCGTTTTTTCTGTATTAGCCGCTTTTCGTGACAAATGTGTCAACAGAAACGAAGGGCAAGTTGCAAACGCTGACGCGCTATCGAGATTGACGCTTCCAAACATCATAGAAAGAAGTAACTTCTTTTAAGAAGTGTAAGAAATGCCTGAGTCGTCCGGTAACAAATGCGCCGATACTAGAAAAGACGCAACTTGGTCGAAGGTAATGCTTTGTTGTGTTAAATGGATGGCCTGCGAAATTCAGAACGGCCAAGTTGTCACAATTTTTTCTTTGCAAAGATGAGCTCCTGTGGGTTATGATTACCTCACATGGGGAAACAAAGTAGTCAACCGTGAGTCACTGCCGTCAGAAGTTTTACGGCTCTTGCTCGAAAGACACCCGGGAGCTACACGGATGAGAATGCTATCCAGAAGTTAGAAGTTTTTTTTGGTGGCGCACCAGTTTGCATAGCTGTTTTTGAAGATGTGTGTTTGTCCTTCTTACTCCTTGTTCCCCTTCTCCAGGGATAATTATCGTCACAACCAAGGCCTCAATGAATGTGGAAATACTGCGCACATTCTTTGCACCTTGTGGCCTTCCGCAGAAAATTGAGAGAGACAATGCTCCCCAGCTTGTGGCTTGTTGATTTCACAGATTTTCGCAGTAAGAATTCCGTGCAGCACATCCATCGACGCCCCCCTACGATCCGGCGTCCAATGTCGCCGCACAACAACTCGTCCAGACGGTCAAGCGGAGCCTCATCCGCAGGCTCCAGGAAGAACGACGGACGGGACAGTCTCGAACGGTACAACACCGGCCATGCCCTGCGACACGTGAGACGCCAGCCCAACTCTTCCCGTTATGGAAGCCACGCACAAGGTGCAGCAAATCATCCAGCTGATCTTGGCCACAGGAGAGTCGGTGAAAACGTACAACGAATCCTTTGAGAGGGTGCCTTTCCTCGAAATCATGGAAGTCAAGTCGTCCTCATCCCCCAGACATCTCCGGACCCATTTCTCCATGAGTAAACTTCGCCTCATTCCAAAGGCAACGTACATCTACGTGGCACGGAACCCCTGGGATTGCTGCGTGTCCAACTACCACATGACACGAGAATGTCCCCGCATAAATTTCATGGACGGAACATTCGACGACTTTCTTGACGCTTTCCTCGAAGCAAAGGTCGGTTTTGGCGACTACTTTGAGCATATTCTTTCTGGCTACAACCATAAAGACGACCCGAACGTGTTTTTCATCACGTATGAAGAACTTCAGAGAAACAAAAAAGAAGTTGTCCTCCGGTTGGCCGACTTTTTAGGCAAAGAACACAAGCGAGTGCTCGAAGAAAACGGGGACGTGTTTGAGCAGGTCCTGGAGAAGAGCACCGTGGATTTTATGAAGAATATCCTGACGATGAACCCAATAGAGCTCACCGAGTGTATCACAAACAATTCGCCACACGTTCAGCCGCTCCAGGTCATCAGCAACCAGCAGGTTTGCCAATCGACCGAAATCCATATCCTCCGCAAGGGAGTGATGGGCGATTGGAAGCAGCACTTCACTCGTGGGAACATCGAGAAGATGCAGACTGCCATCAAAGAACGAACGAAGGGTTCGGATATTATGAAGCTTTGGCAGTGTGACTGAGGTCCAATGGTGCTTACAATGACTCGTACGTTTATGCAATTGAAATATTTCTTTTTCAGAATCGTACGAAAATATGCGCTAAGGGAGGACAGTTACTCAAATTCTAAAACAGAATCTATAGCCCATGACACTTTCTTCCGTTCGTAATGTCGCTGTTTCCGACTTGAAAGATTTAAATGCAAGGTATCTTCGGTTCAATTCCAGCACTCTGGCAATGATAAACTGGTTCGTAAAGCAGGCATCATATTGATAATATATAGAATACATGTTTGTATATGTATATACGCCAATTCATTAAACCCAAATATTATTTTTTTTTTAATTGGTTTGCTCAGTTCCTTTCTCTTGGCGTGTGCAGCGAACGCAAGGTTTATAGTTTTCGGGAAAGTTTTGCATCAGCTACCGTATACTCGGTTGCTTTCGGTATGGCCTAGTGAATAGCTACGCTACGTGGATCCTCGAAATGAAGTAATCTTATTGCGTGTCCCTTTGTTATTTAGAAGGTCACATCTATGCTCCGTACCACTTCCGTATCAGGCATAGAAAAAGACGCAGGATTACAGCGCATTCAGTGTACATGACTGGCTTAGCTTGTGACAGCGAACGCACGTAGACAATGGGCGGCGTGACGATGCACTTTTGGCGGTGTCAATAGCTACTGAACCTTTACTTGAAGCTCCAGATAGTCAATTTATTCATCGAATGTTTGTGTACGATCACGGGTCAATTTGTAGCCACGGCAATATAGTGGCTAAATCCCTCGATATCTCACATTTTGAAATTCAGATTTAGACGGATGCACAGGGAACATACAAGTTGAAGCACAAGGTTAAGAAAGGAGAAAAAAATTCTAGGGAATCGGTGAACGACATTCACAGTAAGACCGAAAGAGACGAGTGTTAAAAAAAAAACGGACAGAAAAACTAAGTTTTAAACACAGCCTCTTGTTTGGCAGCAGTATTTGAGACTTGGTTCTTCTGTCCGTTCTTTTTTTATGGTTATTATTCCTTTTTCGTGGGTTTACTATGAATGTCAAATGCAAGTCATGTCATCAGATTGACGCCAAGTAGCAATTCTTGTCGTTTTTGCTCGGTGTTACTTTATTATTCATTTCTGTAAGTAAAAGAAATGATAATCTCGCAGTGAGCGAATTCAAAAGGATTCAAAATTACCTCGATGATATCTCCTCGTTCTGAGACAACTTTCCTGCCGCGCCGATAATAATACGAATCATAGTGCAGAGGGCAGCGCTCGCCGTCGATTATTTGGGTAGCAGGAAAACGCTCGGAATAATTTATAGCTTTACAGAACGCTTTGTCCGCCATTTATAACATGATCTAATGTTGTTGGATTTACCGAGTTTGTATTGAAAACACTCGGAACACTGACAAGTAAAATGAAAGGTGACGCGCATCTGGTAAAATATGATAATTAAAAATAATACGGAACGTTAATAGCTACAGTCACTCTAATCACCGACAAGCTAAGAAACGCAGGACGTAGCGGGTCCTGAGGTTCTCATTATCGCTCGTCAGCCAGTAAGATCGCGGAGTTAACCGATTATAATATCCGAAGGACCAATCGGGAAGCAATGAACATCATAGGCTCCGCCCTGCGTTTATTCAGCTGTCGGAGACCGTAACTGCCGGTTGGCTATCCTCTTTGCACACTACATGGTGCTGTTAGCGTGAAACAAGCGATATCTCCGATTTTTCTTGATCCTGCGATCATTTTAATATTCAAGGGCTTTCATAAAAAAACTGATATGGTAGTAGAAAGTGATCAGTTAATGCACTAATATTGGAGGTAATATATAGTGCCTAACAGCGTCCCTTCGAAATGAATTAAAAAATCGCGCCAATGCCGTGTTTTGCATTAAGAGTGTCACGCAGTGTATGTCTCTTTTTTTTAAAGAAATCAAAAAGATTGCGACGGACCATTCACAAAAATATATGGTACAGAAGCGATCCTTGCGTGTGCGCCGGGAAGAAAAGCACATTAATGCTAGATCGTATTTTTTTTTTTTTTTTTTTTTTTTAGTCAGCGAGGATAGTTAATAACCTGCAACTTTTACCTTAAAGGAAAAAAAATATATCGATGTAAGTAACAAAGAGATCAGAACATTTAGGACTGTAATGACTTTCGTTATACAAATTACATGTTTATTGAACAAATCATGTTTATTATGATGTGTTTATTGAACAAATTATATGTTAATTCTGATATGTTTATTGCACAAATTATATGTTTGTGCCATTGTATGTTTGTTCTGATATGTTCATTGCACGAAGCATGCGTTTATTCTAATATGTTTAATAAAAGAATCACACACACACAAACACACACACACACACACACACATATATATATAGGGTGTTTTTTTAAGCTTAACAGAATTTTTTTTAAAAAGCCATAAACGCTAGATTAATGCGGTCTCCGCAGGTGAGTTATGCGGCCAGGGGGACATTATATAGGAGGCTAATCGTAACGATCAGTCGGCTAAGTAGTTAAATTCGTTAATGAACTTTTTAATTAATAAAAATAGACATATAGTTCCAATTAGAAACTTGATCAGCGTCATCGAAAACCACTAAATCAGTAATTTCCAGAAAGACTGAGCGCGTGAGAAGCGTAGTCGTGCACTAAATTTAGCACTCGTGGAGCACGTACAAAGCTAGCGGTTGCGGTAAGGCGCCCGCGCAATTTTTCCGTCTCTTATCTAGCCCCAGGCTTGTACCTGCTCCACGAGCGGTAACTTTAGTGCACTACTACGCTTCTCACGCGTTCAACGTTTTTCTGAAAATTACTGATTTAGTGGTTTTCGATGAAGCTAAGCAAGTTTCTAATTGAAACTATATGTCTATTTTCATTAATAAAAAAGTTAACTAACGAATTTTAACTAATTAGCCGACTGATCGCTACGATTAGCCCCCTATACTATGTCCCCCTGGCCGTATAACTCACCTGCGCAGACCGCATTAACCTAGCTTTCATGGTTTGTTTTTAAAAATTCTGTTTAGCTTAAAAAAACGCCCTATATATATATATATATATATATATATATATATATATATATATACCGTGTCTCTAAAAGCTCATAAACATAGAATACTACATGTACACGGGGCGAGACAAACAGTGGGAGGATTTCTGGAGCACAAACGAGCACGTACCACGTGACACTAAGCGTCGTACCGCGTTCCACGCGGCGGCGTGTGTTTCCAGAACACCTCCGATTGGACACATTTCGTTTCTTGTGCATTAATAAGACAGGTAGTGAAACGCCAGAAAGCTAAGGTGGAGTGGTGTAGTGGTGTAGTGGTTAGCACACCCGACCGGACATTGGGAGGCCCAGAGTTCAAATCCTGGCTCCGCCATTTTTTGGCTTTCGGCGGGTTCCTGAAAACTTGGATTCTTTAATTCATTGGATTAAGTACGGTTCATTCATCTGCAATATTCGTTTATATATATAAATATATATATATATATATAATTCTATTTTGAACTGGGTTATTGTGCGTAATTTCTGTACTTACGGTAAAACCTGCATAATTGTAAGCGCAACAAGTAAGGGAAAGAATTAGTACATGGCCGCCTTACTGTCTATCTGTGTGTGTGTGTCTGTCGAACAAGGAAACAGAACAACAGTTGCTCCGCTCTCGGCCTTTCGCTCGACGAATAAAAATAACTAAACTGTACTTAATTTCGCCCATCAAAGTAAGTAATATATGTCCCTTTCTGACTGCAGTCCACTGTTTCTTTTTCATTTTCTGTCATGCAGTTGTTTTGTTGTTTTTTTTGTTTTTGTTTTACCGTGAAACGTAGCTTTCTGTTTTGCGTGTTACATCAATCTACATTTAATCACAGATAAATATAAAGTGCTTCGCAACACTTCACCATTTCACTACTAGCTCTCAGTGTTTGTCGACCCAGTTTATATAATCTTGACTCACTCAAAATCTACGTTGGTGTCGATTTTTTAATATCGTGTTCGGGGGCAAACGTGTACCATATACAAAGAGAACCGAGACAACGTGGGGCCTAGCGCGAGATGGTCGCATCCTCCAGCTTCCAGTGCCCCATCATCACATTTTTTTTCAATAAATCGACTCTATCAAGAAGACTCTCTTGCGTCCGCCTACGACCGAATCCTTGTGACCTCTGACGACGGTTGAACCGCTGGCACGCTTGCGCCATCTATGAGGTGCCCTGAAACTGCCTTAAGCTGAAGCGAAGGTTTTGCGGTATTCGCGAGATCAAATGTGCTACGAGTTCTAAGTTAGGGATCTCAAACTCATTCGAGTGTGGGGGCCAGGCAGCCCACCCCCGAAATGTCGAGGGTCAACGTAAGGGGAGGGGGAGGGGGGGGGGGGGGCAGGGGGTAAGATATTTTGAAGAGAGAGACCTCGTGCTTTATGCTTTTTGTAAACTCGCAGTTTTGTCAGTGCCATCTTTATTTTTGAGTTCTTTATAGCACTACCTCGGGCCCAGAGGTGATGTGACCGAAACTGAAATGAAACTGCGCCGTCGACACGTTGACGTTCTTAATAGAACAAGAGAAGAAGCACGCTGTCGTGCCCCCTGCTAGGTTCAATCAGAAATTAACCTGGCTCACCCAACACGCCTATATAAAAAAAAAATGTTCACGACAGTTCTTGCTTTCCTGGCGATTTCTTTATCAGTCTGACAAAATGTTTGCATTTTGATGGTCATATGTTTTGAAAACGAGAATCCCCAGCTCATAGCTTTATCTTTGGCAGTTTCTCCTGCTGATTGAGAATTCGCGGAGTCGAGAAACGCCCTTCAGCGAACTCGCGCTTGCGGCCTGTTGTACAGGTGATTAAGACGAAACAAACTGTGAAACAAACAATAGGGCGGAACCCTTGGCCGATGAAAGCAGATAACGTACAAACTATGTAAATACGTTAAAAGAGTAAAGCGTACGTTTCGAGCGGAAAAAAAAAAATCGGCGAGATGAGATCACTATGGTGCATGCCAATTCTAGCGTCCGAGAAATGGGAGCGGGACTGGCAGCTGGTTGCCTGCAAGCCCCGTCCCAGCGAGTCACGTGCTGCATGCAGCCCACAGGCAGCGTGTTCGTGATCCTTAATCGACAAGGAATGGTTTTTTCTAAAACTGCCGAACGTTGTTCAAGCCAAGAAAGAAAGAATTACGCGAGAAAAAGATGTGAAATATAAGGAAATGCCGAGTGTTCCACGACTACACGGTAGATGGCGCCAATATGTTTTCTCGGCGTTACACGTTTTAAGAGGTTGTAATCCACACAGTCATAGAAAGGCGCAAGTTTGTACACCAGTT